TTTTGGCAGGATCCAATTACAACATTCAGGGTACCCTTAAATTCAACCAACCATAGAGCTAGCCTAGAGTCTTGTTCGGCGACTAATGGGTTAACTTTTACATTAGGCAGCTGAGATTTATCTATAGTTGCTGGCCTTTCTTGATTGGGCGTTGCCAAGGTAGTGTGGTGGAGTGAAGTGGTGGGCAGTTTCTTCAGCCTTGGGCAATGTGTAGCTGCCTGATAGTTCCGGGGGGACTGAAACTTAGGCCTTCTAGTTTAGAGGGAAAACTTAAAGCCTGTTATGGAGTTTGTATGGTTTGGACTTGTGTCCTTACAGTCTTATTCTTTAAAAATATTTTTTTGTTTCAGTTGGACCATGTTGTACTTCAGTCCTTAAAAAGACTTATGAAATAGTATTGGGTGCCCAGGTGGCTCGGTTGGTTGAATGTCTGACTTTGGCTCAGGTCACAATTTGTGGGTTCGAGCCCAGCGTCGGGCTCTGTGTTCACAGCTAGCTCAGAGCCTGGAGACTGCTTCAGATTCTGTATCTCCCTCTCTCTCTATGACCCTCCCCTGCTCACACAATCTCTCTCTTTCGGAAATAAATAAAACATTAAAAAATTTAGAGTGATAAATCAATATAATCTACATAGAGATTATATATATTTATATATATATAAATCGAAAATACGTATAACCTATGTTGATTAAGATTAAGTCTGGAGACTTGAGGCCCCAGGATGTCATCTTTAAGGACTGAGCACCCCTGGAATTTATCGTGTCTGCGTTCTTAGTCCTAACATCTCTGTGCACTGGTGTGAACCAGCAGGATGTCACCGTGAGATGCTGTCATGGAAATACATTAGAAAAAAAGAGGACTCTGGAGTATCAGGAAGGAGAGGTGTCTAAGTTGGGCAGACTCACCCAACAACTAAAGCTAATATTATGAGGCTCAAATAGGGCAGAGCAGGGGGCGCACCCCTGTAAAGTCCAGGTAAGCACAGGCCTGGGGAGGGGTGCCTGAAGAAAGGCTTAGAACCTGCCACTCCTACACAATGGAACACGCAGGTTCCTCTGGTGGGGACGTGTCACCCTTCCAAACCCAGATCCATCGCACAGAGGTGTGAAACGAAGCGGCCAAATGGGCTCTATGTCACGGCTGCAAGCTCAGCCTGTCATGACTGGTACATTCTTGCACCATCCCTCGGGAAAGACTCCAGCTCTTTCTACCAGCAGCACAGGGTGGTGGAGCCACCTAACACCGCTCCCCTGCACCATCACAGCCCTTCCTTTCCCCAGCCCTGTCCCTTCCCCCCTCCCCAGACCCCTCCCCTCCCCAGGCCCTCCAGGGAGCCCCTCACAGAAGGGAAGTGGATGTGCTTTGGGGATTGTACTTCGGAGGCCTCAAATGCCAACCACTCCACAGAAACCGGAGCATCTAAATTGCAAATGCTTTGAGACAAAAGATCATTAAAATAAAAAAAAATTCCCTAATGATTTCCCATAAGATAAATCCTTAATTAAGGGAGTAATCAACTCTCAAAGCCTAACTGTCAGAGAGAACCAATGACACTGAGGTGGGAGGAGGAGGGTAGGGGGGAGTGGGGGTGGGCAATGAATTGTTACTGATCCATGATCACAGCAACTGACTCAGAACAAGCAGGCGAGCCCTGGGCTGCTCCCCAGGGTCCGGCCAAGCAGAGAGCAGAGATCTGGGCCATCCTGCCCGCACTGCTGTTCAACAAACTCGGATAAACTTGGCCCAAGAGAAGCCAGAAAAAGGTTTGGAAGAGAGAAAAGGATTTATTTTGGGCGCCAGCAGCTAAGGGAGGTGACACATTCCTGCCTTAACATGCCACCTCTCTGCAGCAAGAAGGACCCCTAGAGTTTTATGGGAGAGGTTGGGGGGAGTGAAGTATGTGCAGGAGAGCAGGCAGGGAGCACGCACCATCGCACCATCGTGGATGGGGGGGGCGTGACCGTGGGCAGGGAAGGGCCCCTGTAGGGAGTGGTCTTCTAGGCCTTTCATTATTGCTATCAGCGCTTTCCTGGTCTGCTGATTGGAATGTTCTTGCAAAACGTCTGTGTCAGTGCGTCAAGGAAGTGCGATAAGGAGTAAGTACTACGGGTTCTATCTAGTTAGAGCGGGAGTCGAGCTCTATTTCTGGTTCTAACTGTTGTGTCTACAGTTGAGCAAGAGGGCTCGCTGGCAAAATGAAATGGTGAGTCAGTTTGGGGTCATCTTTAAGATTAAATCATGCACTCATTCAGTCTCACACCCTTTTATTTATTTGACATTTATGAGAACCTCCATGCTGTGATCTCAGGGTTTGTGAGAACCCCCATGCTAGCCCTCGGAGAGACAGAAATGAGAAGAAAAAAATTTCTTTTCTCAAGGAACCCAGCCATCTAGCTGTTTCTCACACTTTGGAAGGCATATGATTCACTTGGAATCTGAAATTGCAGGTGCCTGGCCACACACACACACACACACACACACACACACACACACACACATACACACACACCCCAGAGTCTCCTTCAGTTTGACTGGGGTGGGTCTAAGACTCATCCGTGTGTTTTGTTTTGTTTTGTTTTGTTTTTATGGTAATCATGGTGCCTGTGGTCTGGGTGACACTAATCAGGCACTTAGTAGCCAGAGGGCCTTATAAACCTTTTCCCCTTGGACCAAGAGGTCAAGAGCACAAGATACTCAGGAAATTCCCTTCAGGGTCTGGCAACAAGAGTCAGATTCCGACTCCATCACTCGGAGCTCTGGCTTGACCTCTTTAAGGCACAGTTTTATTTGAAATAAAATGGAGATAATATTTCTTATTGCTTCGGATAATTTTGAGAACAAAATGAGATCATGTATGTCTGAGACATAACTTGGCATATAATAGGCTCTCAATAGATAGTTACAGTAGTGATGATTATTACTGCTGGTGGTGTTAACACTACCATGTGATTCACCAGAGTTAAGTTATATTAAACAATATTAGTTATATACAAATGTGTTATATTAATATAAAAGCACTTATTTACCACAAAATTTAGTACAACAGTACTTATTTACTAGTATATTAATTATAATACATATTAACTATATTCATACATACACTCAACAGAGATTATGATCTTGATGAATCCTGGAAGAGAAATTCATGGAATTTTCTATAATACCGAGGGCATCTTCTGAAAATTCCTTCCATTTCCTACCGGGTGCGACTTACCATCTGTCTTATATTGAAAAGAAAAAGAACATAGTAGCAGATGGGGTGTGTTTCCCGACATAATTTGAAGATCTTCACTTTGTAAAGACCATATTAAATGGGAAGTCTCCTGCAAAGTGTCCTTCTGTGTTACTGTCTTTGTTGTTTACTTATTTGTTGCTTTTAAACTTAAGTGGTTTCAGGGTGGCTGGCTGGATTAGTTAAGCATCAGACTCTTGATTCTAGCTCAGACATTGATCTCATTGTCATGAGATCCAGCCCCATGTTGGGCTAAGTGCTGAGTATGGAGCCTGCTTAAGATTCTCTCTCTCTCTCTCTCTCTCTCTCTCTCTCTCTCAAGCTAAAAAAATTTTTTTAATTAAAAAAGTACACTTAAATGGTTTCAAAGCCAAATGGGGAATATAATCATCTTTCTCCCCCATAATTTTTAGAATTTTCTATTTGAAAAATAACTTTTTTCTTAAGATAATATAATACTGGATATAAAAATATATATAGGGGCTCCTGGGTGGCTCAGTTGGTTGAGCATCCACCTCTTGATTTCGGCTCAGGTCATAATCTTAGGGTCGTGAGATTGAGCCCTGCCTTGGGCTCGAGCTGAGTGTGGAGCCTGCCTGAGATGCTCTCTCTTCTTCTCTCTCTGCCCCTCCCCTGCTCATGCACAGATGTGTGCATGCATGTGCTCTCTTTCTCTCTCTCAAAAAAGAAAAATTAAATTAAAAAATTATAAAGCACGGGAAGTCCTAGAAAATGAGAAAACAATCCCCCAAATAGTCACCATCTGGATATAGCCATAATTAAAATTTGCTGCTTATGGAACTGAACTCATGTGACTTCACTCCTTGGGGAGTTATAAGTACAGATGACACCAAGTGGAGTGTTCGCACAAAATAAACTTTATTTGCAGCAAATAAGGAGGTCACGGGGAATAACTTCCAAAGCCAGGAATCCCCGAGTAAGGGTGGATAGGGTCCTTTCTTTCAGGGTTAGAATGAATATTTAGATAGGGGAGCCTTGTCAACGAATATAGAGGTAAGCAGAAGGTCTTACATGCACCTTAAGGAAACATGCTATACACAGTTGTATCTTATGTAAATGAGCCTTGTGCCCCGCCTTGGGTGGGGAGTTTGGTATTATCATGAGGTAGAGGTTAACAGCTGGTCCCACCATGGTCCCACCATGGTCCTCTGCGCAGGCCTGAGTCCTTGGTTGAGCTCAAACTGGTCCGGGTGGTCTGGGCCACCACACCTCTTCCTCCTGGCAGTCATTATTGCTTGAGGGGCCGTTTCTGTTTCCGTCACAGGATACTGTGCCCATCATGGTTTTTTCCTGAGTTAAGAGATAAGCTGAAGAAAAGAACTCTAGGAAAATGTGGACACACATAGATACAGGCAGGTGGGCAGTAAAGGTCAGGTCTTGGGGTCAATCATGAAGGGTTTGGTTGGTGACAGTCTTTTTTTTTTTTTTTCCTCTCTTTATAATTTGTTTTATCATTGGGCTCCAAAACATATGCACAAGTTACATTGTTTTTCTTTCAAGATTATAAATAGAAATTTCACATAACACATATGAACACACCTGATAGCTGAATAATTCATTCTTCCTCACCCATAATTTATTTTATCAGTCTCTTATTTGGTAAGTTTCACTATATTAAGATATACAACCAGGAATGATTTTATAATATATGTTTGATTATTATTACATGTATATTGTTTTCCTTTGTATAGATTGCTGGAAATAGAATTACTGAGTGAAAGATATGAATTTTGTTGTTGTTCCACCAACGGGGTGCACTGTTCTTATACTTATTGAAATGCCAGGTGGATGCATGGAGGGAATGGAGCAAGCTCCTATTCTATCTCCTAGTTCCAGAAATCTATCTAATATATAGTCCTCGGGTAGAGGGCATATGAGACATTACACTGATAAGAACAGATACTACACTTGATCTTAGCCAAAAGGCCAAGAAGAATTAAGGCATGAATATTTTTAAATTTACAAGACATGTTAATAAATTTTTCTCCAGAAGGTTATGCCAGCACTTACTCTCATGATGACAAGAAAAAGAATTAATTTATCTGACAACTAGAAATATTAGGTATGCTCCATTAGTATATTGGCCATCATATTTCTTTTTCTGCAAATTCTACATTCCCTACTTTGGTCCAGCTATCTGTTGGAGACTTACTTGATGTTGATCTCTTCCTTTCTTCTTTCCTTCCCTCCTTCTTAGTAAAAATTTATAATTTGGTATTTTTCATGGAATGAGTCTTAAATATTAAGTTAATTGCTTGGTAAAGTGTAACCGAGAAGCATGTTCCTATGCTCTTCTGCAGTAGTATTGAGGAAGGATTCCACGAAAGTTCACTTTTAGAATTCTGTTTGGTGACACATATGTTGATATTTCCTTTCCCAGGCAGACCCCCAATGTGGTGGCCTTTTGCAGCAGCCTACTGGATGCTTCTTTTTGGACCTGTATATGGTTATCACAAGATAGGAGGCATCACAAATCCTGAAGCTACTATGAATATTGTAAGTTGTTCATTAAGAAAAAAAAATAAGATAAAGAAGTATCGATATATTTTATATATAATAGTTTAGATATGATCAATGTGCTTGTCCACAACCAGTTCTACATTGACTAAATCTGTGCTTTCTCCCCGTTCCCTGGCATGGCTAACCAATAGCTGAAAGTTGCTAATCTAAGCTTTGAAAGACCTAAGCCAAGTGGGGACAGTAATATGCCTTTTCCTGGTGGCTTGCCCTCCCATCTGACAGTGGTTTCCTGAAGAGCAGTCTTGTGAGTTCATACTGACGACCTTTACAGAGCACCCTAGCATTCTCCCGCAAGCTTTGTCTAGAGCAGTGTCTTTGATTTGTGAGCTGTGTCTACGTACTTTTTTTTAGTTTAACCAGCCAGAAGTGGTTTTGGTTGTTATAAATGAAAGTCTCTTAACATGCAGAAATTTATATCAAAAGTGGAATGGGATCATATGCTAGTCAAAGAAAGAAAGAAAAGAAGGACGGAAGGAAGGAAAGTAGGAAGGAGGGAAGGAAGGAAGAAAGAAAAAAAGAAAAAGAAAGAAAGAAAGAGAGGGAAGGGGCAGGGAGGAAGGAAGAAGGAAGGAAGGAAGGAAGGAAGAGAACAAAGGAAAGAGAGAGAGAAAAAAAGAAAAAAGGCAAATGACTGACAATTTCCACCCTTAGGCTTCATTCCAATGGGATACTTCACATCTTGTATACATTATGCACCACTGATGTCCTCACCAATGCCAAGTTTGTATTAGAACTTTAAGAAGAATGAAATTGTCCAAGTTTCTAATTAGTGTCCTGTGTGCTCCTCTCTCCACACTCTCCAGCAGGTGCCCCTAACCTCCTACATGGCTGAACTCACAGTCTATCGTTGTGTGTCCTCAAACCGAAATTTCCCTCTTCCTGTCATATTCACACACATTCTCTTCCTTCCTGGTCTGGGTGCTTTTGGGCTCTTAATTATCCTATAAAGACAACAAGAATTATAAACGTCTACAGAGCACTTATTTCATGCCAGAAGTAGTTGCAGATATTTTATGTATAACCCTCAGAACAAATCTGTGAAGAGACACTAGTATTATTTTTATTGTACAGTCAAGGAAAACGAGGGACAAAGAGGTTAAATAACTTGCCCAAAGTTGCCTAGCTAATAAGAGAAAGAGCTCGAATTTGATGCCATACAGTTTGTCTCTAGAATCTAGATTCATAACCCCTGGATTAAATAGTCCCATAATATATGCACACCTCTGGTGCACCTTACATGGGCAAATGCATAATCCTGTGGTCAAGGCATGAGCTTTGGAGCTAAACTTACTTAGACTTTCATATATGTCCTTAGCTCTTCTTAGAGTACAATCTCAGGTAGATTATTCATCTCGCTGAGACTCCATTTTCTCAACTGTGAATGAGCATAATCCCATCTCAAAGGCCTGTTGGAAAGATTTTAAAAAGCAGGGGATATAAACTCTGTTCTGTGCAGAAGATGACCAGTAAATGGTACTTCCCCTCCTGCGTGTATATCTGTGCAGGACATTGCTTTTATGTGGGCCCACTCTGTCTTCTTCACACCTTTCTCTCTGCCCAGAAGCTGACCTATAAGAACTGGGGCAACAAGTTCCCTTGACTTTGGTTTTCAGTTCAGTTCAGCCAGTTGAGATCTTGAGCAGGAGCTCAGAAGGAGGGAGGAGGGTGAGATCAGATGATTTATTGCCCTGGATTCCTCCATGAGGTCACCCTAGGTGGGCTGTCCCCTCTGCTAAAGGTCAGACTTCCTCTCCATGTGCCCTTTTCTCCCTATCTCATTCTGAGCCTGGTGAGCACTTTCTCCCACCTCCCTTCATGGATGGCTGGGAACAACTCACCCATAACTAGCCACAGGGTACCGCACAGCCCCCCATGGTTTCTCTCATTAGATGATCATATAATTCGTTTTCGAACATTGTAAGAGTGAACCCGAGTGCATTCATAATACCAAGCCCAGCAAACCAGGATGTACGGTCACCCTACCTCGCCTTCCCACACCTCCATATGCAACCTCTTCTAAAACCGTCCTCAAGTTATCTTGATTTTCCTGCTGCCTTCTGTCTCTACCTTCACTTCTACCAGTGCATAGTGGAACAGCGGATGTATCACATAAAGCACCACACTGCAATTTCTCAAGAGATGACATCATGAATGTGTCTATTTTCCTCTCCTCTTTTCAGAGCCAGATTATTTCCTACTGGGGTTATCCTTACGAAGAGTATGACGTTGTGACCAAAGATGGTTATGTCCTCGGAATTTACAGGATTCCCCATGGAAGAGGATGTCCAAGAAAAGGTAGGATTTATTTTGTTTTGGGAGGAATCATGCCTAAAGTAGAGATTCCTAGGTCTGCTGACAGTAACAGGGCAGCTTGTGTTCTGAAACAGAGTCTGGGAGCCATCCTTATATCAGACAATCTAGACTTTAAAATAAAAACTGTAACAAGAGATGAAGAAGGGCACTACATCATAATTATGGGGTCTGTCCACCAAAAAGACATAACAATTGTAAACATTTATGCTCCAAATGTGGAAGCACCCAAATAAATGAAATAGGGTCTGGCCTTTTCTAGAAGAAACTCATCACCTCCACTGCTATGACTCCGTTTCACTTGTATAATCCTTGGGACTTTTGAAAGCATTTAGATATACAGTTGGCTCAAACAGCATGGGAGTTAGGGACACTATTACCCCCACTCCAAGCAGTTGAATGCTCACATACAGCTTTTGACTCCCCCAGAACGTCACTACTAATAGCCTAATGTTGACCAGAAACCTTATCAATAACATAGACAGTCAATTAACATATAGTTTGTATGTTATACGTATTATATACTGTATTCTTACAATAAAGTAGGGGTAGAGAAAAGCAAATGTTATTAGAAAAATCTTAAGGAATAGAAAATACATTTCTAGGGGCCCCTGGGTGGCTTAGTCTGTTAAGCGTCCGACTTTCGCTTAGGTCATGATCTCACGGTTCTTGGGTTCGAGCCCCGCGTCGGGCTCTGTGCTGACTGCAAGCTCAGAGCCTGGAGCCTGTTTCAGTCTGTGACTCCCTCTCTCTCTGACCCTCCCCTGCTCACGCTGCCTCTCTCTCTCTCCTAGAAATAAATAAAACATTAAAAAAAATACATTTCTAGTATTGTACTGTATGTCTCAAAAACAATTCCGCATATAAGTGGACCCAACAAGGTTCAAACCCATGATGTTCAAAGGTCAACTATACACTGTTAATTTAGTTGTTTTTTTCTCCATCACTTTGTCCTTCTTACAAAAAAACCCCACAAAAACAAAGGGTATTCTAGAGATATGCTCTCTTCAGTCCTAAAATCTAGAACCCAAGGGGTCACCTTGATACTTTTTTCTCCCTTGCTTCCTATATCCATCCAATCACCAAGCTCTATCAATTTAGCCTCTAAATTTCTCCCTCCTCCAAAAACTTGTCTCAGCTTCAGGATTCCTCAGGTCTAGGCTTGGACATGATCATCAGCTTTGCTTCAGCTACTGTGACAGCTTTCCAGCTTACTTCATTTGTAATTAGTTCTCTTCCTGAGTCATTGGGACTTCATGTTTTAATAAATCTGCCTGAGTGGCTCAGTTGGTTAAGTGTCCAACTTCGGCTTAGGTCATGATGTTACAGTTCATGAGTTTGAGTCCCACTTTGTGAGTTCGAGTCTGGAGGCTGCTTTGGATTCTGCGTCTCCCTCTCTGTCTGCCCCTCCCCTGCTCATGCTCTGTCTCTCTCTCTCTCTCCCTCTCAAAAATAAATAAACATTAAAAAATCAAATCTGACATATTAGTACTATACTTAAACTTAGTTAAAGAGCCACTTCTAGCTCCCTACAGTACAGATGGCCACCCTGTGGAGGAAAGCAGAAGTCACGTGGCAAAGCCCTTGTGTTCTTCCTTCTCTCGTTTCTTAGCTCCTTCGATACTTTGGAGTGTTGTATAACAAAACCTCCCAGGATCACAATGGTTAATCATGTGAAGGGAAAATATAGATTTTCAAAAACAGAGGGAGATGTTGTTGACTCTACAGAACCAATCGCCACCTCCCAGATAACTCCATTACCTTTGTAAACACTCAAGAGAACTTTGTTTGCCCAAACCTCGATTTCAGTTCTGTGGGGGAGCTGCCAAGATGTGTGAGCTGGACGGCTGTCTCTGCAATGAGAAGCTGCCGGGGCCTCAGACCAGGGAGGGCCTATGGCTTCTGACCAGGCTTTGGCAATAACTTAGGAGAATTAGTAACACCTCTTCTTTCCATTCCCTGGAAAGGTCAAGTGAATGGACATAGGCTTCCGTTCCCTGCATCAGGGTGGCTGAGGCCTCTCCCGGAGCCCAGTGTAGCCTGCCTGATCCCAGGAAGTGGGCCGAGCCCCAAGTGAGCTGAGGGGGTCGTGGGTACCAGCACAGGACCACAGACCATTTGTAAAAGCCAGGAAGATGGCGGCCACTGCTCTCTCTGTTGTCTGTGTCTCAGCACCACCTCCCTACCTCCCCCTTTTCTTTTCTTCTCCGTCAAGCTGTTCCACTTCTACAGTGTGAGCAGGACTTTTATCTCAAGGGAACACTTTTATCTCACATAACATCTCACTGAACATCTTGCGTTTTGCTTCCCGACAATGTAAATGAAACTATGCGGTGTGTGTAAAATCTAGCCTAGTGCCTGGCATTCGGCAGTACTCAAAATTGGCGTGTTTATTGTTGCTGTTATTATTTCAAGGAAAATTCAGTTTTGTAATCAGAGACTCCTTGAGAAATAAAATGTTATCACAGGAAATAATAATAATAGAGAGGTGATTTATTGTGTTGGACAGCCTTTTATGTATTTTAATTCTAATTTAATTCCTGTGATTGTATTATGAGATAGCAGTTGTTACTAGTGCCCATTATACAGATAAGTCAACTGAGGTACAAAGGGGTTCATGCATAGCAGAATAGATTCTAAGCAAGAGCATCCTGACTCCAGTACCAATGGAACAACACCATATATTGTTTATAATCCAAATTTTACAAGGAGAAAAACAGGATTATAACTTGCTTACTTATGAAGTAAGTAGTTCATAAAAGACTGGCACCCAGGTTTACCCGGTGCCACATTTCAGCCCTTAACCTCTGTCCTATAGAGGAAGTCAGGAAGAGAATCTTCCAATAGATGCTCAGAGGGCTCAGACGTGAAATTCTCGTCGCCTTGTCTTGCAGCTCCAAAGCCTGTTGTGTATTTGCAACACGGATTGATCGCATCTGCCAGCAACTGGATTTGTAACCTTCCGAACAACAGCTTGGCTTTCCTTCTGGCAGATGCTGGTTACGACGTGTGGCTGGGGAACAGCAGGGGGAACACCTGGTCCAGAAAACACCTGAAATTTTCACCCCAATCACGAGAATTCTGGGCCTTCAGGTAAAGAGTTACGTACTGATAAAGTGTGTGCTTTGTTCATTTATTTATTTTTTTTAGTGTCTATTTATTTTGAGAGGGAGAGAGAGAGAGAGAGCACAAGCAGAGGAGGGGCAGAGAGAGATGGAGAGAGAATCCCAAGCAGGTTCACTGCTGTCAGTGCAGAGCCCGACATGGGGCTTGATCTCACGAACCACGAGATCATGACCTGAGCTGAAACCAAGAGTTGGATGCCCAACCAACTGAGCCACACAGATGCCCCTGCTTTGTTCATTTATATGTACTGTGCAAATACACCCAGTGGAATACACAATAAGGAAACAAGCATGTCTTCCTCTACCCAAGCTTTCTTCCCAGGCTCTGAAGAGATGTCCTTATTCATTGCATTGATGTTTGTTTTAAAAACCCCACTTGTTGGAGCGCCTGGGTGGCTCAGTGGGTTAAGTGTCAGACTTCAGTTCAGGTCATGATTTCACATGTTGAGTTCAAGTCCTGCATCATGCTCTGTGTTGACAGCTCGGCATCTGGAGCCTCCTTCTGATTCTGTGTCTCCCTCTCTCTCTCTGCCCCTCCCCTGTTCATTCTCTCTCTCTCTCTCAAAAATAAATAAACATTGAAAAACATTTTTAATAAATAAAAATAATAAACTTCCACTTGTGTGGAGGGTGTGTGTGTGTGTGTGTGTGTGTGTGTGTTCGCGTGCAAGGTATATATGCAAAAAAAAAAAAAAAAAAACACCCCATCAAAATACAAAGGTCATCTTTAGCAAGGTTAATTCCAGGACTATCACTTTGTCAGTGTGGACCCCAAAGGAAAGTTACATGATGTGCTTATTGAAGAGGAAAAAGGAAACCAATCGAGAAATGGGACCAGAAACAAGATTCTGGGTGAAAATTCTGAGCCTAAACATCCATGATAAGCCAGGCGGGAGACCGGAGTGAGTGTGCACAGATGACATCTCAAGTGTTTCTTCACTCAGTCGTGAAGAAACCACAGCTGGCGGGGCTGAAGCCTGCCCTGGAGCCAGGTACTGGGGACATAGAGAGAAAGCCTGACCACAGAATGACTGAGGAGCAGTGCCCCTGGAGCACTGTCTGCTTCCCCACAGGGGGAACCCCCACACTGGCAGAGGAGCTAAGAACCATACCTTGAAGATCACTAAAGTCATTTGTTCCTTGGCCTCATTCCTAGAAGCCATGTGGCTCTTCCTGATTCCATACCCCAATGCTGTTGGGTCACGGCATGATACAAAGGGCATGATGATGCCCTAGGTAATCTATACGTGCAGGTTACCAGGCCTCTTCCCCAGAAATTCTCATTCCGTCTGTCTGGGTTGAGGTCTACAAATCAACTTGCTTTATTCTGTTTTCAAAGTAAGCATTCCAGGAACTGTTCTTCTCAAGGGAGTTTGGGAAATCTGCTGTATCATTAAGTGAAACATGACTAGCCTTACGGGACCCTCTGTGGGCCTTTGCAAAACAGATTTATCTGCCTCTGGTTTCTTAACAGTCAAGGTGACATCCTCAGAAGTTACAGAGATGCCTAATGTCATATATTGACTCCAGTCTTGAATTGACAAGAGCTAAGTATCTATGTTTGCAATAAATGTGTTCGAACACTACAGGCCTGACCATGAGATTTTTTTTTTTCCAATTCTGTTATTCTTTGTCTTTGGCAGTTTGGATGAGATGGCTAACTACGACCTTCCATCCACAATCGATTTTATTGCAGAGAAAACGGGACAAGAGCGACTCTACTACGTTGGCCACTCCCAAGGCACCACCATCGGTGTGTTTGGGCAGGTGTGATCTGAGAGTGTCAGGGGACTTCTGTATTCACAGAAGGGGTCAGGACAACTTCCATCTGTGCAGTGCCTCTGGCTTGCAGACTAGACCTGGAAAACCATTTCCTCTGGCTGGTTTCTGGTAGCTAAAACAAGGATGACAACAGGGATTTACACACACACACACGCACGCACGCATGCACGCACACACTGCCCCCCCATGACTGGGTTTCGAGATTGTTGGAGATTGATAGATAAGCCCAAGCGAGAGAAAACTATTCATTTGTGTACACCACACACATTTGGCAAACACTGGTTTAGAGGCTGGGGAGGCAGAGCTAAAAATGATATGCATCTTTCCCTTAAAGAACTTGCTGTCTAATGAAGACATCAAAAAGAAAGAAGAGAATTACAAATCATGGGGACTCAATGTCACAATCAGTGTTTTTTTTTTTTTTCAGTTCCCGCAGGCCCTGAGGCCATGTGGGCAATGCCATGAGGCACCTCACTCCCTTCCCTGGTCCCCATTTAGCTAGGCACCTCAACACTACCAACAACATTTCCACCAGACTCTTTTCTGTATCTGAATCCTAATCGGTTGTCTGGTATAAAGCAGATCTTTCCATGCCTCTACTATGCAATGCATCTTCCGTACACCTCTCACTGCAACCTACAACATTTGAGATCACTATCATCCATGTTTTACAAATGGCTGAATTTGGAAATCCTTTCTAATGGTGAGAATGCCAAATTATACCTTCAGTTTTACACATATGTAATTTAACCTTCAAAAGAATCATCTGCAAAGGATCCTATTTTCCACATTTACAGATTGGGAAAGCTGGAGGTAATATGCTCGAGTCTTCACACTCGAATGGGAGGCTACAATTATGGTCCAATGTTGTCTAATACTAAAGAGCATTGCCAAAGGAGAATGGCTTACTAGACATGCCCCACATGGGTGTTTGAACCATTTCTGCAACACTCTCTGTGAGTAGACTTAAATTCCCCAGGGACAGAGAAGTCACTGTGGTTTGAATTAGCCAATCTCATTCTTGAAAAGTTTAGAGAGTTCTTCCCTAATGGGGAAGGACCATGGGGGAAGAGAGGGGTAAAAAATAGTTGAGGAGAGGAAGGGAGGCAAACCATGAGAGACTCTTGAATACTGAGAACAAACTGGGGGGTGATGGGCCTGGAGGAGGGCACTTGTGGGGATGAGCACTAGGTGTTAAAGGGAAACCAACTTGACAATAAACTATGAAAGAAAAAAAAAAGAAATCTATAAACTAGTGTCTTCTTCCCTTTCAGCTTTCATAGCATTCTCTACGAATCCAGAGCTGGCGAAAAGGATTAATATATTTTTTGCATTGGCTCCAGTCATCACGGTGAAATACACTCAAAGTCCTATGAAGAAATTAACAACTCTTTCCAGAAAAGTCGTCAAGGTATGTGTCTCCTCCAGGTTTAAATCTATAGTAATTAAAACTAGCTCCATTTTCACTGATTTCAAGAGAAGAGAACCTTAGAGAAAATGACGTTTTATAAGCTTCTGAGACTCTAACAGATGTAAGCTATCAATAGAGGTGTGCCAATAATGTAATTTTACCGACAGGGTTCAGAGAGCTCCCTCTGATGCCTTTCTACCCTACTGTTTAAATCCATGCCTAAAGGCTTCTGTCCAGGTCATTCCTCAATCCCAGATAAAGCAAATGCTGATTCGATGAATTGATTTGTTTAATCTAGTAGGTTAAATTTCTCTCTAGCAGCCCTTGGGTTTTCAGGAGCAGTATGGGGTGGTAGTTAAGATCACCGCATGGAGCCAGATGGCGTGGGGCTGGATCCTAGCTAGCTAGGTCAAGACCTGCAATGTTTTGTGAATCGTTTTCTTCATCTATAAATGGGAATCATAATAGTTCCTACTCCTAGGGCTGCTGTGAGGACTGAGTTCAGACATGTGAATCCCTTAGAACCAGGTCTTGCATGTTATAAGCTTTTAATAAGTGTCACCTACTTCTAGCTGTGGCGATTTACATAGACCATACCTTCCCCTTTCACTAAAAGTCCAGCCTTACTCAACTGCCCACACTTCACAGATTCTCAGTCTGTCAGCTCCTCAAAATCTGGACACCATCCTAAACTCCAGATTCTCTGTGATAACTGATGGCTAAGTAATCTGGTCAGTTACTCGGTGGAAGTGAATTGGTCCATGCAGCTTAGTATGTTTTTCTCTTCCAGACTGATATGGACTTCTCCCATGGCAGACTAAGAACGATCCTTGTGTTCGGTGATTTCAATTAAAGTAAATGAAAGTAAGATAATCTTTATGGGAGCCATAGATTCTGACTTACCAGATATATGGTTTGCAAATATTTTCTCCCATTCTGTAGGTTGCATCTTCAGTATATTGAAATGTTTCCTTTGCTGTGCAGAAGCTTTTTAGTCCCATTTGTTTATTTTTGCTTTTATTGCCTGTTCTTCTGCTGTCTTATCCAGGAAATCATTGGCCAAGACCAATGTCAAGGAGCTTTTCCCCCTATGTTTTCTTCTAGGAGCTTTATGGTTTCAAGTCTTTTTTTAATGTTTTTATTTATTTATATATTTATTTCTGAGAGAGAGAGAGGCAACGTGAGCAGGGGAGTGTCAGAGAGAGAGGGAGATACAGAATCTGAAACAGGCTCCAGGCTCTGAGCTAGCCGTCATCACAAAACCCGATGCGGGGCTCAAACCCACATACCTTGAGATCATGACCTGAGCCAAAGTCAGACACTTAACCGACTGAACCACCCAGGCACCCCTATGGCTTCAAGTCTTAAATGTACGTTCTTAATCCATTTCAAGTTAATTTTTGTGAGTGGTATAACCGACAGGTTCAGCCTCATTCTTTCGCATGCAACTATCCAGTTATCCAAACACCCTGTACTGAAGAGACCATCTTTCTCCCATTGTGTTCAGAGCATCCTTGTCAAAGTTTAGTGGACCATAAGAGTGGGTTTATTTCTGGATCCCTATTCTAATACACTGCTCTATGCACCTGTTTTTATGCTAGTACAATACTGTTTTGATTACTGTAGCTTTGAAATATAGTTTGAACTCAGGAAGTGTGATGCCTTCACTTTTGTTCTACTTTCATAAGATTGGTTGGGCTATTTGGGGTCTTTGTATTTCCACACAAATTTTAAGGTAGTTTCTTTTTCTATTTCTGTGAAAAGAAAAGAAACAAAGGAAACATTTCAATATATTGAAGATGCAACCTACAGAATAGGAGAAAATATTTGTAAACCATGTATCTGATAAGGGGTTAATAACCAAAATATGCAAAAAGCTCATACAGTTCAATAGCAAAAATGCAAGTAATCCATTTTTAAAATGGGCATTTTTCCAAAGAAGACATGCAAATGGCCAATAGATACATGGAAAGATGTCCAACATCACTCATCATCAGGAAAATGCAAATCAAAATCACAATGGAGTATTACCTCACACCTGTTAGAATCGCTATTATCTTTTCTTAATGTTTATTTATTTTTGCGAGAGAGAGGGGGAGGGAGATCATGAGCTGGAGAGAGGCAGAGAGAGAGGGAGACAGCTAATTCCAAGCAGTCACCCAGCTACCAACCAAGAGCCAGATGTGGGTCTTGAACTCACGAAACGTGAGATTATGACCTGAGCCAAAATCGAGTCAGACACTTAACCGCCCAAGCTATCCAGTCACCTCTAGAATGGCTATCATCAAAACAACAGTAAATAACAAATGTTGGCAAGGACGTTGAGAAAAGGGAACCCTTATACACTGCTAGTGGAAACGTAAATTAGTATAGTATATGAGTATATTAGTAATGTATATTAGTATAGTATTAGGGAAAACAGTATAGAGATGTCTCAACAAATTAAAATGGAAAAGTTTAAAAGAATATTAAAAAGCCAAAAGAAAGTAAGGAAATACAGCCATTTGCAACATGGATGAAACTGGGGAACATTACACCAAATGAAATAAGCCAGAGAAAGACAAATTCTGTATTGAATCACTTATATATAGAATCTAATATTAAAAAGCCAATTTCATAGAAAAGGGGAATAAAATGGTGGTTACTAAGGGCTAGAGGAGAGAGAAATGGGAAGATGTAGGTCAAAGTGTACAAACTTTCATTTATAAGACAATTTAATGTCTTATAGTGTCAGTTATTCCTCTAAAAAGTTGAAGGTGAATGAATGAATGCATGCATGTATGAATGAATGAGTAAAACACGGGTAAACCTTGTCAAGTTGTTTGAGAGATTCATTGAGATGATACATGTTTAAGCATCATACCCGGCCTACACCAGGTGCTCAGTAGATATTATCTAGTAGTATCAATTGAGTTTATTTTGGATTCAAAGCCGGAGCACTCGGCATTTCAGATTTCCTGTTTGCCAATAGTTCATCAACTCCTCTCCTGCCCCCTGTTTGGCCTCTGGACACTTACGTGTTCTGTCTTCTATCTTCTGTCTGATATAGCTTGCTTTGACCCTCTGCTCCTTACATGTTATCTAAACAGTAAGGATTGTTAGTATTGTCTTCATTTCTTAAAAGAAAACCGTGGGGCTCAAGAAGCTAAGCAGCCTGTCCCGAATGACCCAGCTAGTGGTGACAGAACCAGAACTGGAACCCAGATCTGACCAGGGCATCTGTGGGGGGTGTTCTTTCTTCTGTGTACTCACTTCCCCACCTTTTCAATGCCAACCTGAAGAAGTCAGTCCTGGATCCTTATGCCCAGCTGTGTACAAGTTGCCCAGATCAGCAAGCCCCCAACAGCGGCATCCAGCCTCTGGTCTGCCTGGCAAATCATGTGACCTGGAGCCATGTGTCCAAAAGAAGGGGTGCTGTTTTAAATTCACACAGATACCAAAGAGCACACTTTATGTGACAGACACGCCCCCTCTAGAACGAACTTGGAATTACATTCTACAAGCTGCTTTTACCGGGTTGGGGGAAGGAGCAATTATGTGCCCCTGGGTAAATATACGGTAGTTTTGCTGCATACATGTAGAGGTAAAGTCAGAGACTGTCATGCTAATTCACTCTCTATTTGGAAATTCCAGCTGTCAGAATAAAGAACAAGGACCCTTTATGGCAGATATAACATCTTTCTTTCTTTCTTTTTTAAATGTTTACTTATTTATGTTGAGAGAGAGTGCATATGAGTGGGGGAGGGTCAGAGAGAGAGAATCCCAAGCAGCCTCCATGCTGTCAGCACAGAGCCCGACACGGGACTCGATCTCACAAACCATGACATCATGACTTGAGGTGAAATCAAGAGTTGGACGCTTAGCAAGCTGAGCCACCAGGGCGCCCCTAACCTCTTTCTTCACCTCATGTTTCATGGTTGCTCCCTTCTCTGAACTGGCACTTGCTTTTCATATGGATTTTCTGCCCAGTGTGGATGATAAAGATATTGGTAGTTGAAAAATAAAAATGTTAAGGGGTGCCTGGGTGACCCAGTCAGTTAGGTGGTGGACTCTTGGTTTCTGCTCAGGTTGGGATCTCACAGTTTCGTGAGTTCAAGCCCAGCCTGGGGCTCTGCGCTGGTCACACTGTCCCTGTCTCTCTCAGGATAATAAATAAACTATAAAAAAAATTTTTTTAACGTAAGAAAAAAGAAAAATGTTCACTGATTTAAACCAGACCCTGCTTTCTACCTTAGCTACTTATTCATGTGCTAGCCTATTTAGATTATCACACTTGAGAACATAGAATAGATGTAAACGTTCTTTTAAGAGGTAAGTGCAGGAGCACCTGGCTGCCTCAGGTGGTAGAACATGTGACTCTTGATCTCAGGGTTGTAAGTTTGAGCCCCATGTTGGGTGTTAGATATTACTTTTTTTTTTTTTAAGTTTCTTTTCATTTATTTTGATCAAGAGAGAGCAAGCAAGGGAGGGGTAGAGAGAGAGAGAGAATCATTGTCAGCACAGAGCCCAATGCAGGGCTTGAACTCACAAACCATGAGAGCATGACCTGAGCAAAATCAAGGGTTAGATGCTCAACTGATTAAGCCACCCAGGTGCCCCAGGTATAGATATTACTTAAAAATAAAATCTTTTTTTAAAAAAAAGAAGAAACCATTCTTTAAAAAAAGTTCTATGTGTCTGAACCTACTACTAATTATCATGCACACGGTTACACAGGAAGTGTTATGTTTCCATAAGTGGATTTAAAAATTATCTAATATATTGTTCAAGTGTCCCAGGGATCGAGACTAAATGAATAAGAGGCCAGGATAAATTAGATAATGTCTGCCATCGTTAATTATCGCTTTCCAGACCTCAAGAAGTATGATTTGAACTAGTTTAACAATTGTAGCCTCTCCTTTTTCCCTTCCTCCCTCCCACAGGAAGGGGTAGATGAAGTCATGGTGTATCAGAGATTCCATTAATATTCCAGAAGATAGCAAGCATCCCATTAAATGAAGATTACCTTTGACCATATAAAATAACCACTTTTCAAATTCAGAATTCAACCAACTCTACCCAGTAGGAATTTACTGGACCGAGTTTACCACAGAAAGTGTGAGATCTTAGCATGCACTGGTGCAATAAAAATAAATGCTAGCTATTATTGTTTTAATCTAATCTAATCAATCTAATCTAAATAAAGTCTTCCAGGAGAAAGATAAGCTAGATTTGTTTTGCTTTGTTGTTGTTGTTGTTTTTAATATAAATGGATGTTTCCAATGGATGTTGAATTAAATGGATGTTTAATTAAATGGATGTTTCATCTTCATATCTAGTTTATTATCCTAAGATTATAAAACTAGTTTTTGTGAAGCAAAAATAAGATTCATTTTATATGCACAGGAGTTTGATATGAATTTATGTTCTAATTTGAAGGGATTCCTAAAATTCGAAAGGTAAGTTCAACTCACTGGCAACATTGCCTGAAATTTCACTAGTAAAGATACATCTTAGGGGGATTAAGCTTTGCCTGTGGGGGAGCCTGGGTGGCTCAGTTGGTTAAACTTCTGACTTTGGCTCGGGTCAGATCTCATGGTTCATGGGTTCGAGCCCGGCATCAGGCTCTGTGCTGACAGCTCAGAGCCTGGAGCCTGTTTCAGATTCTGTGTCTCCCTCTCTCTCTGACTCTCCCCCACTCATGCTCTGTCTCTCTCTGTCTCAAAGATTAAATAAACTATAAAAAAATTATAAAAAAAAGCTTTGCCTCTGGAAGAGTTCATCAAAAGATTCTGGAAGGAATGGCTCATTAAGTCTGTATCATTCACTACTTATAATAATAGTTATTGTTTGGGGAATGTTTGCTAGGAGATTCAGTAGGTACCTTTTAAACATGACATATGATCTTCAAAACAGTCCTTCGTAACATGGTTGGATGCATATTAATTTTCTATTTAATAGTTGAGAAAGTTCAGGATAATAGAAATTAAATACTTCCTTAAGGTATATAGACAGAGTCCAGAACTGAACCAGGGTATCCGTGACTACAAAGCCTTACCGATTTCCTATGGTGGCTAGGTTCTCAGAAGGTGTTCTGTAAAACATCCCAAGAAGAGGACCTTGGGAAAAGGCAACAAGAGATGTGTTGGGAAGACCACAAAGGTGGGTTGGGAGAACTAAAAACCAAATTTAACAGGCCTTTCCATTTTACTGAGGACTAGCACTGAGCAGATATCACCTCCATCCAGTCCTTGGCTGAATGACCACTTTTGACATCCACATCCACGAAATCTGATGGTCTCTTAAATTAATCTTGCAGGCATTATTTGGTGACAAGATGTTCTACCCTCATACATTTTTTGACCAGTTCATTGCCACCAAGGTGTGCAACCGGAAGCTATTCCATCATCTCTGCAGCAACTTCCTCTTTACTTTGAGTGGATTTGATCCCAAAAACTTAAACATGGTATGTGTAAGTAGTTGGATCCAGAAAAGCATTATTTTGTTGCACAGAGGAGTTCTGAATCACATGGTAATCATATCTCAAGATCTCTTTTTTGTTTCCTGAATCGAAATTACATGTTGATGGCTTCCAACCAAAGCTTGGGGGGGTGGGGGGGGCATCTACCTGCTTTAGTAGGAAGAATTGGGAAGAAGGCTTTGTCACTGAACATTCTCACCAACTCTTGCTGTTGGCCAAAGTGCCACCATCGGCAAAGTCCTCCACTTACATGAAGGCTCTGGTTTTGAAATTTATCTTGCTGTGTCTGAGGTGTGCCTATCATAGACCTACTGAAGTAGAATTTCAGGGAGTAAGCCCAGTCATCTGTATTTTTTAAACCAATTTTCCACTTTCATACATGATCTGGAAATACTCATTTTGTGAACCACTTACTTCTTTAATCCATTGGGATTAAGGGATAGCCTTCCAATGAGAGCTACAGATTCACTGTTCAAGGGACACTGAGAAGGATCAGTGGGGTTTCTTGGTGAGTCCTCTCCAGCTGAAATCCTTTTCTTCCTTAGTCACTGTGAGCTGACTAGGTGGGAGGCAGAAGAAGCAAAGGTACTATTTACTCCCCAGCCAGAGAGGAGGTATCTTTGAAACCAGAGGCAGGACAAAGTTGAAAATGGTCTTCGACTATCTCACAGACTTCCACCCAGAGCCTAGTCTCCCTCTGTTACTGGAGAGCACTGATTAAACACTTTTCTTGCTTTCAGACAAGATTTATAAATGGCCATTTATGAAGAACATGCCTTAGCCCCTGCCTTTTCACATTCCTTTTTTTGTTTTCTCAGTTTACTGAGGGAACTGCACGTGCCTGTCACTTAGATGGTAGCATGTCCAGTGGGCAGAGCTGAGTAAAAAGAGCTGTAAGCAAATACAATAGGGATAATTTCAAAAGCAGTCTCTTGACATGGCCCAAGAGTTTGGTAGAGGAAGACTTCATAACATGGCCCCCTCAAACATTTACTGAGGGCCCTTATTGCCCATTTATACAGTCAGATTGCCGGGGTTTTTTTGCTTTTAACTGTTGGGAACTGGCCTATGGAATATTATACTCTCTGCAAGGATATCTATTTTAGTGGAGGACACCCACGGATGCCTGGGTAGAGTTTGTGGACCTTTGAAGGAGTACACATGTCCAAAGGACTCAACCTTAGAGAGGTTGATATTGATTCAGTAGGTTTGGCTAGCTCATGAGGGGTAGTGTTTTGTTTTTGTTTTTGTTTTTGTTTTAAAGCTCCATGCTCTTTCTATGTTCACTTTGTTGGAAAAATAACTGCTCTGTATACTAAAATGTAAAAAACAGAAAGGCAATGGAAAATATGAAAAAAAATCAAGTTGGCTTTTTTTTTTAATCCAGAAAAAAAATCTAAATGTCAATGGAGTTTCCAATCTTGTATGGATTATGTTCCACAAACTTTCAGAGAGCCCTATGTTTTTAAATATTCACTGTGTTTTTAAAATCAGACCGCAAAGGAAACATTCAGATCTTTTCTCAATGTCTCATGATAAACAACTCTCTCAGAATGTCCTTTGGGACTTAGCACAAGGTGAATAAGGTCACTGGGGTTCTAATTCTTTGGCCCCCTGTACTCTTGGGCCATCTGAGGTGAGGCTGGAGAGAAAAGGCATGCTCGCATCTTTGACCAGCAGGATGCCCTCAGTGGGCTTTATGAAGACTGTAAAGGACAGAATAGAGCTAAGGGAGGAGAAAGTTCTTAAAGAGGGTATGGTACATGTTTATTCTCAAGAGAGAGAAAGAAAATACTCAAGTTTACTTGTGGTATGGTCATATGATTAGCCTCCAGATGAGAAATAACCTCTACTTTGCAGAGTCGCTTGGATGTTTATTTGGCACAGAGCCCTGCGGGAACATCTGTTCAGAATATGCTGCACTGGGCCCAGGTATGTGCTTCCCACTCTTGGTCTGATGCACACACAGCTCTCCAAGAGCCCTGAGCGGGACTCCCAAAAAGCCCACTGAGGGGTTTTGCAGGCACCTGCACTGTCAGCTGAATGGATGCTTCCAAAATCAGCATCAGCTCGTGTTGAGTCCCTGTTCTCTCTTCTGTTCTCCATGTCCTCGGTTTCTGGTGTTTGGGCCTGGTTCCCACCAATTCGGACTGAACTCTGATTTTTGGATTACTCCAAACTGACTTTTCAGGGGAGAGTTTGTACTTCCTCTTTTGGAAAACCATCGGTTCTAATAGAACTTTATGTAACAGGATAGAGGCTATTCCAGAAAGATCCACGCATCCTCCTATTGGCATATGGGCCTTTTCAGCTTCTTCTGAGCAAGTTAAATGTGAGATAGAGATGAAAATAGATAAATGGTTTCTGTTTTCACTCTCAGTTTAAATTTCTGTGTGTGCTACTGTGTTACTCAATAGTCAGCAAGTTCAGAGATAAGTCGTATTCAATTGGCACAGCCTTCTGAACCAAGTGTATATGAGTGTGTGTGTGTATGGGGGGAGGGAGAGAGAAGGGTCTTCCCAAAGTTTTGACATATCCAAGATCCCTACAAGTTTGCACTTACACTTCCACCCCAGTTAAGTCCATTCCATGCTTTAAGGTGGAGAATCATTGCTATAGATAGCCTGAGACACCAGTTGAGGGTTTCTGAACTCCTTTGAAGAGTCCCATCCCTAAGACATAAGCGCTCACATTCCTGCAGGAAGAAAGATGTTCAGGGCATAAGGTCTCCTCCCAGGAAGGAAACAGAGAGAGTCTGTGATGGACATGGCCTTCCAGGGAACACAAGTCCAATGTCATGTTTACTGAGCACTTACTATGTGTCCTTGCTATTCACAAGTGTGATTTCCTTCAATCTCGCTGACTTCTCTTAACAGTTTTTCCATGAAGGCGTTGACACCCCCGTTCCACAAAGATTCCGGCCAGTCCCTTACATGTCTCACAGCTCACTGCTCTTAAAAAGGCTTCTTCTCCTGTATCAGAAAGTCCTCCTCAGGACAGAAATAAGTCAGGGGAGTGGGGGAGGGGGGGAGATGAGACAACTTAGGACAACTTGTCATAAGTTGTGCAGACAACTAAGGCAATGGCGACGACAGTGACAATAGTAGTAATATTAGCAAAAAGAGGGTTCTTGCGTGTTCCTAGGTGCTGCACCCTAGCACCTCACTTAATGCATGACCTTATTTAATCTTCTCTATGAGGAAAATGTCGTCATTCCCATTTCACAGACAAGAATTAGGGAAGATACATAACTTGCTGTGGATCACGCTTTCGATAACCCATTAAGCCTGGATTCAAACCAAGTTTGTTTGCTGCGAGGACCCAGGTAGCTAACGAGCCCACGCTACTGCTTGCCGTTGTGAAAACCAACCACAGCAGACCGCCTCTGTCCATAGAAGGCATGATGGGAATAATTTTAAACTCAAAATCGGGATCAAATCAGTGAGTGTGGGGGGGGGGAAATCTGAGAGTCAAGTTCAGAAAACACCCTTGGGACAGTGTGAGAGTCATTTACTGGAGCGTGTGAGGTGAAATGTGAACATTACCTGTGTCCTTCGTCCAACCTGGTGGCAAATAAGAGAAGATGGAGACTGTAGGCGTGCAGGTATATGATCGTTTCTGTTCTTACAGCAGAAGTCTAAACATGAAAACACCCTGGGGGTGTGCACATTGTCTCAGACACTCAGCCTGTGGCCCCGTTCCTGATGACAGGGAGGCTGCTGGGGAGGCAGAGCACCTCCCACAGGAAGCACTGAAGCCACTCCGAGTGAACATTCCTTTCGGGAGCAACAAAAGTGTTCAGGAATAGGGGCTGCAGTGATAATATCCTGACAGGGATACTGTATGCAGCTGTTTAGTAAAATATCGGTCACTTTTCAGTGTAGGTGAATAGCTGGTGCCTTTTTAAAAAATTATTACAATTCCTGAAGCTAAGATATTCAAGAATCATTCAACCCAGCATCCTTATAAACATTTCTATGCAGAGCCTTATAGCCTATAAAGACATTGCCGTCAGGGTGCCTCGGTGGTGCAGTCAGTTATGCATCTGACTTGGTTTCCGCTCAGGTCATGATCTCACGGTTCATGAGTTCAAGCCCCGCATCCGGCTCCATGTTGACAGCTCAGAGCCTGCTTGGGACTCTCTCTCTGTCCCCCTCTCCTACTCATTCTCTCTCTCTCTTTCTCTCTCTCCCTCTCTCTCTCTAATTCTCAAAAATAAAGACATTGCTGTCTGAAATTTTCACTGGAGAAGGTTAGGGGAGAATAAAAGATGGTCAGTCAGTTCTGTGAATTATTTTTCAATTCGTATCAGTTTTCTTATCTGGCTTATTACTCTTTACTGGATTTTAGCTCCTGTGCCTAAAGAGTGGGAATGTAATGTCATCCTCTTTGTATATTTTCTGTTCACTGTCTTTATTTTTTTTTAATGTTTATTTATTTTTGGGGAGAGGGAGACCGTGAGTGGGAGGAGAGCCAGAGAGAGAGGGAGACACAGAATCCCAAGCAAGTTCCAGGCTCTGTCAGCACAGAGCCCGGCTCGGGGCTTGAACCCAGGAACCGAGAGATCATGACCTGAGCTGAAGTTGTATCTTCAACTGACTGAGCCACTCAGGCACCCCTCTGTTTACAGTCTTTAAATGTGTGTTGCTTTCGTATATCATTGTAATGTGTTTTTATCTCTATTTTGTCATAGGCTGCTAATTCTGGTCTGTTCCAAGCTTTTGACTGGGGAAACCCTGATGAGAACATGATGCACTTTCACCAGGTACATAGATGACCATGGCCATCAGTGTCCACTCACTAAGCACCTGCTAGGTTCCAACACTATGCCTGATATTTTATATAGATTAGCTTCTACTTATTGGTTTCTTACCATGTTCCATATCATCATTTCTAAATTTTTTAATGGTTTATATTTTGAGAGAGAGAGAGAGAGGGGGGTGGAGGGAGGGAGACACAGAATCTGAAGCAGGCTCCAGGCTCTGAGCTGTCAGCACAGAGCCCAATGCGGGGCTCAAACCCACAAACTGTGAGATCATGACTAGAGCCAAAGTCGGACTTTCAACTAACTGAGCCACCCAGGCGTCCTGTTTTAAATTTTTTTTTAATATTTCCATATTACTTTTGATCCTCATAAAGGCTTGCAAGGTAAATATTATTGTTTCCACTTTTGCAGAGGCTCAGAGAGGTTAGGTAAATTGTCAAAATTATTTAGCTTAGTAATAAGCCAGGATATGACTCAGGTGGTCCTGGATGATTTTATAACCATACTTATTCCTTCTCAAAAAATAGAAACTCTTGGGGTGCCTAGGTGGCTCAGTTAATTAAGCATCCAACTCTTTCGGCTCAAGGTCATGATCTAACAATTCATGAGATGGAGCCCCACGTCAGGCCCTGCGGTAGCAGCTTGGAATTCTCTCTTCCTCTTTCTGCCCCTCCCTAGTTCTCTCTCTCTCTCTCTCTCTCTCAAAATGAATAAATAAATATCAAAAAAATAGAAACTCTCAGCACTTAACCAAGAGCATATTTTTTTCAAAATTTATTTATTTATTTTGAGAGAGAGAGGGGCAGAGGGAGTGATGGAGAGAGAATACTAAACAGGCTCCGCACGGTCAGCCCAGAGCCTGACTCTAGGCTTGAACTCACAAACCGTGAGATCATGACCTGAGCCAAAATCAAGAGTCAGGCACTTAGCTGACTGAACCCTCCAGGCAACCCAAGACCATATTTTAAAAAGAGAATTAAAGATATATAATCTTTGTTTCTGGAACATACTCTCATTTATTTTCTTTCTCTTATAAAATGAACTAACACTGCCCTATTACTTCTTTGGGAAGACATTTACTACTCATAAAAAAACAAAACAAAACATGGAACATTGAAGATATACCAGACAGAAATACCACTTTTAGGAAGTACTGCTATCTGCCAGAGAATGGTGTGTCAAGATATTTCTTGACATAATCTATGAAAACTTCTGAAGCCAAAGTTCTGTATTAAATGGAAATATGTGGTGTTTTAGTTGTTATTTTTTCCAGTATTTACAAAGAAATCCATACATGATTTTGGCTTCATGCTGATAGATATCAAAGATACATGAGTTTTCTCATCTTGTAATTAACCAATTTCTCATCCTAGCAAGATGAGCTTACCTTGTGGGAGTTAGACATCAACTTGGATGAGAACTGAGCCACAGGGATTAGCTTTCCCGTTGTCGTTACACTTGCAGCAAATACACAGAATACACAGTGATTCAAGTTCACATATGAATCTTTTGCTTGGGACCTTGGGGAAGAAATGGAAAACCCCAAAGCAGCTGAGGGTGAACAACATGCATATGTAGAAAGCAATAACCTTTGTCACAAGTATAAGCAATGACCATAAATTAGACAGTCATAATGACCAATGTAATCACCAATCCTTCATTACTAAGTTAAAAAAAAATCTTAGCCAAAAGCCAATGTGTCTCATTTACATCCTGATTTGCATATGTATTTTTGCTCTACCATCTTCTGGGCCCCCTTTCTTCCTTCACGGGGTCCTAAATCATTGCAGTAAATGTATTCTGATTTCAGGGGCTCCTCAGACCTACTCTCTTGCCATAGAGCTCGCTAATACTTACAGCTGTCTCTGGGTGTGTTGTCTTTCTGTTCTTTACCTTTGTCCATCTTTGCATCTAAGTATTTATGCTTTGTATTATCCCGCTGAGAAAACCAGAGTCAGGAAAAGCATGCCTGTTCTTGCCTCAGTTGCTCTTTGCCTTTGGGGCGTTGATCGGCACTCACTAGCCTCTCTGCCTTTCTCACTGCCTTCTCGTAGCTATACCCTCTCATTTATCTCATTGATTCTAAGCTCAGGGCTTAGAATTGTCCCAGCAATATAGGGGACAGGTGATATTCTTAAGATATTTAGTAATGCAAAGCCCTAGACACCAACGCATCGGCCAACAGCAACTTCTGTAATGACCGAACCTGTGTTCTCTGCTTATATATCACCCTGTTAAGAGAACTGCAGGTGCACAGTCCTCAAGTCAGCCCCACCCCTGCCCATCTGGTACATTTCTAGTCTAGGAAACCTCTCCCTGGCCAAGGTTACAGTTTCCCAAGGATCTATGCCTTTGTCCATGTTACCTTTTCTTCCTAACCCTGCTGCCAAAACTTCTTAACAATAGTGTAGTAATCTGCTCAGGCTGCCATAAAAATGGACTGAGTGGTTTAAGCAACAGAAATTTTTTTCTCACATTCTGGAAGCTGGATGTCCGAGCCCCAGAAGGTGGGGCTCTGGGGAGGACCCTCTTCCTGGCTTGCAGAGCGTCACCTTCTTGTCACGTGCTCACAGAGCCTTCCCTCCTTGCGTGCACTTGAAGAAGAGAGAGAGATCTCTCTCTTCCCCTTCCTATAGGCTGCCAGTCCTACTCAATTAGGACCCAGCCCTTATGACTGCATTTAACCCCAATTACCTCATAATAGCCTTATCTCCAAACACAATCAAATTAGGGGTTAAGGTTTCAACATCCAAATTTGGGGAAAACACGATTCGGTCCTTGGAATACGGTGGTAATCCATATTCTTTCAGTTGCACATGGCAGAGGACAACTCTACGTTAGGTTTAAAATATCTATGTACTGCTTTACTGCACTAAACAGTGTGGTGATAAACTCACGATGGCTGGGGACTGGAACACTGTCATCCCGGCGCTCCTCTTCCCTGTACCCCTCCCTCTCTTCCAGTTCTGCCTGCAAATGCTCTTTTCCTTCTCAGGCTATTTCAAGATGGAGTAGTAAGGTGGTGACTGGGTGTACTTAACTCGTATGGTTCTTTCAACCACAAAGCCAGAGAAGAAGCCAATATTTTGCTCAGGAGCACTCGTAGAAAGTTCCAGAGAGAACTCTGGCCCGGTTTAAGCCATGTGCCCACTTCTCATTCAGTCATGGAGGCCAGAGGAATGAAGACTGATGGGCCAGGCCAGGTCATCCAGGGCCACTGAGGAGCTGGGGGATGGAATTTGCTGGATCCCAGAGGGAAGGGGAAAGACATTAGCGTCATAATCGCTCTCCTCTGGAACAGGCTGGCTCCTCATTCATGTCATACTTCAGATGTTTTCATCTATCGGTCTCAATGCTCTCCAGAGAGTCGGATCAAGTGTCAATAATCCCCTGAGCCCAGATTTCTGCACAAGAGAAGAGGTATTTACGTGTATCCTCTACATAAATACATATATTTTGTTCAAAAAGGATATACTCCCAGAAGCAAGCCCTACTAGAAAGATGGTCATTCGTAGGGGCACCTGGGGGGCTCAGTCAGTTAAGCAATTGGTCATGATCCCAGGTCAGGTCATGATCTCATGGTTCGTGGAGCTGAGTCTCATGTCAGGCTTTGTGCCAACAGTGGGGAGCCTGGTTGGGATTCTCTCTTTCTCTCTCTCTCTCTGATCCTCCCCCGCTTGCTCTGTCTCAAAATAAATAAACTTTGTAAAAATTTTTTAAAAAGAAAGATGTTCCCCCATAGAAATAAGAGCACCCTTTCTCAAGGATTCTTTCCTATTTTCCCCAGAGTACCAATCAAGAATTTCATGGTTATCTTTTTCTTTATGCACAGTTCATATCATTGCACAAAAGTGCTCTCAAGTACTTCTAACATTTTAGTGTTTGTAAATCATTAAGTGTATTCTAACTGCATACTTTTGGTATCTGAAGAACTTGCTTAACGATCGGTCACATTACTCCCCTGATGTAATTTTCTGTGAAATCTATGTCTCCAATCATACTTAGCTTACACCTCCCTTGTACGATGTCACTAAGATGCAAGTGCCCACAGCTGTGTGGAGTGGCGGACATGACCGTGTGGCTGACCTCAAGGATGTTGAGAATTTACTGCCTAAAATTCCCAGGCTCATTTACTACAAGTTGATTCCACACTACAATCATGTGGATTTTTACCTGGGACAGGATGCACCCCAGGAAATCTACCAAGACCTTATTAGACTGATGGATGAATGTTTGCAAAATTAAATACATATTCCTTTCTCTAAGCAAGTGCATTTTTAAAATAATAAATGTGGCGCCCAGACCCTAAGGTGACCACTCTGATGGTTTTCACCTCCTTGTGCCCATGTGTTGGTGTAACCCTCTCCCCTTGAGTGTGGGATGCCCTTGAGACTTGGTTCTGGCCAACAGAATGGCCAAAGGTAATGGTGTCACACCCTTGGTTGGATCATGTTTGTGGCAAAGGACGTCAGCTCCTGATTGCATTATATTATATGAGACTTCATCAAGTAGACTGGAGAAGAGATCTCCCTTGCTGGCTTGATGAAGAGGACAGATATGTGGAAGAAGCTTGCATGACCTCTAGGATCTGTGCCCATAGCAGATAACCAGCAAACAACCGGATTCTCAGTCATAGAGCTGCAAGATCAATTACATCTAAATCCTGGATGAACTTGAAAGCCCTTGAATCCCCAGTAAATCTTCCAGTTGAGCACCAGGCTGCCCACCCCTCATTTGCAGCCGTGGAGGAGACACTAAGCTGCAGGAAACTAGCTGTGGCATACCCAGACTACTGACCCATAGCCAGAGCCAGAAAATAAATGTAAATTCTTTGAAACCACCAAGTTTGTGGAAATTTCTTATCAGCAATAGTAAATCACCATTCAGAGTAATAACAAACCATTATTATTATTGTGATTATTATTTTTTCTCTTCAGTTAAAAGCTTGAGAGACTCTGGGGGCGCCTGGGTGGCTCAGTCAGTTGAGTGTCCAACTTCGGCTGAGGTCATGATCTCATGGTTCATGGGTTCAAGCCCTGCATTAGTCTCTGTGCTGACAGCTCAGAGCCTGGAGCCTGCTTCAGATTCTGTGTCTTCCTCTCTCTCTGCCCCTCCTCCGCTTGCATTCTGTCTCTGTCTCTGTCTCAAAAATAAATAAGCATTAAAAATTTTTTTAAAAAGCTTGAGAGATCCTGTTCCTTTTGTATTATTTCCTTATTTCTCTTGTTTTGATGAACTTCCTTCCAATTTTCTTGTTTGGCAGATCTACCTGCTAGCGATCAATTCTGTGTTTGTCTGAAAGAGTCTTTGTTTTGCCGTCATTGAGGCTCAATGATATGCCATTATATCTATGTATAAAGTCCATCTTCTTTACCCATTCACCAGTCAGTGGATATTTAAGTTGTTTTCCATACCCTATTATCAATGATATTGGGATGATCATGGACCTAAATGTACCTTATCAAGACCCTGATTTCAAGGCTTTTGAATATGTACCCAGGAGTGTGATGCTGGATCATACAGTAGTTCTGTTTTTAATTTTCTGATGAACTCCCATACCGTTTTATACAGAGATTGCACCATTTTACATTCTCACCAACAATGTGGGAGGGGCCCATGTCTCCACATCCTTGCCAGCACTTCTCTTCTGTTTTTGTTTTGTTTTGTTGTTAGTATTGTTGTTGTTACAGCCATCCTAACAGGTGTGAGGATACCTCCTCGTGCTGGTTCTGATTTGCATGTCCCTGGTGGTCTTGTGCCCCCTGGGGAGAGAGGGAGAGAAGCTGCCCGTGTGTAGATCCTTGGGAAAAGATTGAGAGGCTCCCAGAGTCTCCAGTAGGGCTGATCCCTGAAGGCATTTTGCCTTCATTTCTAAAAGATTTGTTTTTTTCTGACAAGAGAATCTTTTTTTTTTTTTTTTTTTTTAATTTCTAGGGGGGAGAGAGAGAGAGAGAGACAGCCTGAGCAGGGGAGGGTCAGAGAGAGAGCGAGTCACAGACTGAAACAGGCTCCAGTCTCTGAGCTGGCAGTCAGCACAGAGCCCGACGCAGGGCTCGAACCCACGAACCACGAGATCATGACCTAAGCGAAAGTCGGACGCTCCCACCAACTAAGCCACCCAGGCGCCCCCTGACAAGAGAATCTTAGACTGACGTGGTGCATCCTAATTTGTTCTTACTCCCTCGGTGCTTTTAAATGCTGTCCATTACCTTCCAGCATGCAGCTTCTGATAAGTCTGTGATTTCTTATATTCGTGTCTTTGGACTTACCATCCTTTTTTTTCTTTGTCTGCTTTAAGATTTTCTTTTCACCAATGGAGTGTTAGCAACTTGACTTCACTGAGCTTTGGGGTGGTTTTGTTGTGTATTCTGCTTGGAATTCAACTGGCTTCGGGGATCTGTGGATTTATGGTTTTCATCAAATTTAGAAACATTTTGCTCATTATTTCTCCAAATATCTTGGCTCCCTTCACTTTCCCTGGGTTTCTAATCAATGTGTTCGACCACTTGCTGGTGACCCACAAGTCAGTGAAGCTGTGCTTCCCCCCAGTGTTCTCTCTCTGTGTGCTTCATTTTAGATAGTGTCTGTTGTGTGTCTTCATGTCCACAAATTTTCTCTTACAGTGTCTCGTCTGCCTAATCCTATCTGCTGCATTTTCTATTTTGGAGACTATATTCTTCAGCTGTAGAAATCCCATTTCGGTAGCTATTATATCTTCTGTTTTTCTCCTCTTTATATTATGTTTTTCTCTTTTTTAATATTTATTTATTTTTTTGAGAAAGAGAGAAACAGAGTGCGATCGGAGGAGGGGTAGAGAGAGAGGGAGACACAGAATCCGAAGCAGTTTCCAGGGTCTGAGCTGTGAGCGCAGAGCCTGATGCAGGGCTCGAACTCACAAACCGTGAGATGGTGACCTGACCTGAAGTCGGACTTAAAGTACTGAGCCACCCAGGCGACCTTTTTATGTTTCTCTTTAAATCCTTGAGCACAGCAAGCATCTTTTGGGACCTCTTTTAGCATACTTTCTGTTCATGCAATTATCTTTCTCATTTATAGATTTGCTCTATGGATTGATTCTCTCCTGGTTGTGGGTTCTATTTTCCTGCTTTATGGCTGAATGATCTCTTGGATGTCAGGCTTTGAATTTTGCAATGCTGAGTGTTAAGCTTTATTTTATTCCTTTAAATGAGGTTACGAATTTTTTGGCAGTCAGTTAATTTGCTTTTTTGAGACATGCTTGTTTTTGTTTTTCATCTCCTAAGGGCAGGTCTAGAGCAATCTCTTCTCTAAGGAAATTCTGCCCTGTCACTGACTCGTCTACTTGCAGCAGGCTCTCCTGAATGTCCCCCAATGTTCCAAAAGGCCTCTGGTGCCGGCTGCCGGGAATTTCAGTGGGTGGGTGCCTGGGTGCGTGGGTGCTGGGTGCCTGGAGGAGTTGTTTTGCTTCTAGTTTTCTGACATCTGTTCTTTCTCGGAAAGTTTTACTCTGTCCACTCTTGTGGGGATTCTACCTTTTGCATGGGCACATTATTACTCAGCCAGAGCTCCATGGGATGCCTCGCCTATTTCAGAAACTCTTTCTCTGTCTTATCTTCTTTCTCTGGTGTTCTGACTCACCGATTTTATTGTCCTTTTTCTGCTAGTCAGCTAAACCTGACTAAAAACTGAGCTTTTTTTCTTTTCTTTTCTTTTCTTTTTTCCTCTTCTCTCCTCTGCTCTCCTTTTCTTTTCTTTCTTTTCCGTCTCTTCCCTTCCCTTCCATTCCCTTTCTTTCTTTCTTTCTTTCTTTCTTTCTTTCTTTCTTTCTTTCTTTCTTTCTTTCTTTCTTTCTTTCTTTCTTTCCTTCCTTCCTTCCTTTCCTTCCTTCCTTCCTTCCTTCCTTCCTTCCTTCCTTCTTTCCTTCCTTCCTTCCTTCCATTTTGTTGTTGTTGTTGCAAAACGCTTTACTGTTTCCGTTGGGTCCACATCTTGGGAGAGGGCTCCAGGGTGGTTAAAAAGCAGCCTAGTGGCCGCTGGAAGAGGCTCAGGCAGAATCCCCAGCATCAGGGGGGTGTCAGAGGGACCCCTCGAAGGATACTGGGCTCTAGAGTCTCCTAGTTGTGCTTCAGAGTGAGCCTTTCAGAGAGATGCCCATGCAGACAGCCTGGGGGCCCAGCCAGGCTGTGGAGGGGAGTCAGGGGGTCACACATCTTCTGGATGCATGTCACCTCCTCACGTGGGAAGCGGTTCTCCAGGAAGTCCCAGAGATGGGGGTCTGTGTGAGCAGAACCCAGGGTGCGCATATCCCAAAGCACCTGGCTCAAGCTCTTTTCCAACCACAGTGGCTTCCCTGGTATCTGTGATTTTACCCCACTCCCGTTGAGCTTTCTTGGAGTTCCTCTACCTTTGCTGTGATCTAGAAATGACCAGGAGGCAGAAAACTAAGGTTTTCAACAAGAGAATACCCCGTTCATTTCCTTCCCTTCAATGAAAGCAGGCCTGTGCAGCCCAATGTCCAATGTCTCAAAACTGCTATTACATGGATTCCAATGTTCTAGTTTCTTGTGGGACAATGGTAATTCCAGACCCTATTATTCTCCTATGGCTAGAAGCGGAAGTCAAGATTCTTTTTAAAGATTATATCATTCTGCCAGTGCATAGCTAGGGTAACTCGACATACAGAAGGTAATTTAGAAAAGGTCATAACTATTAAAAATTTTAAAGTCCCTCTGTGTTCTACCTAAAATTGTCTCCTGTGATTCGTATGTTGCAGGAAACTAATGGAATGCAGCCCTCTGGTTTAAAAAAAATTTTTTTACATTTATTTATTTTTGAGAGGAAGAGTGAGATAGAGGGCAAGCAGAGGAGGGGCAAAGAGAGAAGGAGACAGAATCTGAAGCAGGCTCCAGAGTCTGAGCAAACGTTCAGCACAGAGCCTGATGTGGGGCTTGAAACCAAGAACCATGAGATCACGACCTGAGCCAAAGTCGGACGCTCAACCGACTGAGCCACCTAGCCCTCTAGTTTCAGCTGTGAGTATGCAGAGTCCGAGAGAGTTTAAGTGGTGTGTCCAAGGTCTATGAGTTAGTGAGTAAAATAGGCTTAGAACTGTATTTCCAAAATGCTGATCCAATGTAGTATTTCATTTTTTTTTAAGTTTATTTATTGTGGGGGGAGGGGAAGAGAGAGAGTTGGTGAGCTCAGGGTGGGGCAAAGAAAGGGGGAGGGACAGAATCCCTCTGTCAGCACAGGCCCCATGTGGGGCTCAATCTCAGGAGGCATGAGTTCATGACCTGAGCTGAAATCAAGAGTCAGACACTTAACCAACTGAGCCACCCAGGCGCCCCGAATGTAGTATTTCTACTACATCAGTTTTGTTCTGCACAAGCTTTATTGCTTCCTCCTTAATATCTTTAACTACAAGTTTTTCCACTGATTCATCTTCCCTATTCCTCCCTCCAAGGGTGTTTTCACCATGAAATACCGCTGTACCAGAACTTACCATGCCTCTAATGCTTTTTTATTTTATTCCACCAAATCCTGACTTTCCTAGCTATAGCTCAGAGTTTCCCATACCTTGCTTTTCCAGATGCATCTGCCTCTGCTTCCCTAATCAAATGCATATCTTTCATTCAAATAAAGGCCATCCACCTACACACATCTTCTTCATTCTCCTTGACAGGATCTGCCTACACCGTTTGCCTTAAGCTAATGGAACTCAATTAAAATTAAATGACAACATTGCATTTCCTAATCAGGTTGGATTTCCTTGTCTTTAGTGCTTTATTTAAAAGCATTTTTTTAAATTTATAATTTATTTTTGGTAGAAGCCACAAGATACATCACTATCACTCACATACA